GTTGAGAGGTCGTCTGCCTTGCAATCGACGCGATCAATTTTCCTCGCAATCACCTGAACATAGCGCACTTCATCCTGGATCAATTGCACTGTGCCGTCCTGAAACTTCTGCTGCTCTGAGAAGGAAGTGTGAGCTTCTGCCATCTCCCTTCCGTGCTTAGCACATGCTGCCTCAAGACTCTCAATTTTTTGGGAGTACATTGCAAACTCACCCGCTACCTGCGCTTGTAAGGAGGCTTGAGCTTGTGTCGTCCCTTCCATCTGCTGCTGCAAGGCCTCCAATTGCGGGCAATGTTCCATAATCCCGTTGCAGGATGCAGCGTGATTGCGTGCAGGGGAGCACGTTCGCCCCAGCGTTCGCCCCAGCGTTTGGCCCGTGCTCAATGGCACGCTGCGGCCCTTGACACCTGAGTCAAGAGAAGAGACTCAAACAGGTTGCAGTAGAAGTCTTACACCTCTCCATGCTTGAAAACCAAGGAGAGGAAACAATCAAACAGACACACACACATACATATATATATATATATTATGTGTATATATATATATATATCACAGCTTAAACGTGCCTTTGAAAGGCCACAGCAAGGCTAAAGTGCCAGCGAATTCCTCTACCTACGGAGGACTGACCGAAACAGGGTGATCCCACTCACCCTATAGACATAGGAGACATTTACCACAGGCTCCATGGAGCCTGGTAAGGGCATCGCCCAACCACCTAACCACCTCTTGCTGAGGGAATCCACAGCCCACACCCCGCGCACAAACACTGGACAGGCAATCCGACCAGGCAAGCGGGGAGGAGAGGGAGGGAGCTAAACACTAGAGACAAACGAGAAACTAACTAACTAGCTAACTATGATATAACATCGCATCCCTACTCATTCGCTACACTACATTCCTAGGTGCTGCTAATTCCTATATCACAGCTTAAACGCGCCTTTTAAAGGCCACAACAAGGCTAAAGTGCCACCAAATTCCTCTACCTACAGGAGGACTGACCGAAACAGGGTGATCCCACTCACCCTATAGACATAGGAGACATTTACCACAGGCTCCATGGAGCCTGGTAAGGGCATCGCCCAACCACCTAACCACGCCTTGCTGGCACACCCAATTTAGCGGGCACTCACAAGACCATTTTGAGCCTGCGCCCCTGACGAAGTTGCTTGCAAAAAAACAGTGGCCTTTGCCACAAAAGTAGCTAGCTGCATGTTAACGTGAGGTGGAAAGTGCATTTGAATAAGTGCTGCTCGGCCCGAATCCAAGTATAAACGGGCTGTCTTGACGCTGTTCCACCGCCCCAATTCAACCAGAGAGTCAAAAGAAACTCTGTGGGCAAATGCGTGAGAGGCTCCTCCACGCCTGATGCTATAAGCAGAAAAGCCAACCGAGGCTAGGTTTAGAGTATCTAAAAGCAAACGGAGGGCCTGACGGGGTCGAACCATCCCACATGAAAGCAGATTCAGAGTAGAGCGCTCCCAGGCGAAGATAAGTAAAAAAGGTAGCCAAGGGTCACGAATCAAGATACTCTGGGGGTGCTTGGGCGAAGTCATCGAAAACGGAATTGCGATAACCACATTGGGCTCCCCTGGTTTCCAGCTGACATGATCAAACCTAAGGGAGGTCATCTCACTGGTTCGCCGGAGGGCTTTGTACCCAAGAAGCAACAAAGCGGCGAGCGCATGCTCCCACACCTCAAGCGCTGCCCCGGCAAGGGCTAAAACCACATTGGCTGGCATGGGAATTGCCTGCCTGGGCACGTGTGCAGAGGTCCTGTTTGGGAACCATTGTTTGGCAATAGGGATCTTGAACCGCGACTGGGGCACAAAGCGGCGGAAGGCACTCAACAAATGCACTGCGTAAGAAATTGGGATAACGTCCAAGTATAGGGACTCCAGATATTGGGCAATCAAGCGATCAAGGTGGTGAAACTTTGAGGGCATTTCAATCTCTTCATCTTCAAGATACGAAAAGAAAGCTGATAGGGCGCGACGATGGGCTGCAACTGTCTTTTTGGCTAACCCGGCATAGCGAAGTGTCTGTGGGGCCTTAGGCATCACCTCACCGTCTGGAAGGTCTGTCAGCAAAGTTCCATGCTGACAGAGTCCAAATCGGTAAAGTATACAGGTCGCCTGCCAGGGATATAGCCGCCAAACGTCGCAGGACTCGATTGAGTCTAGTGGATGGAGAGCGCCCTTTGCCGAGCGCATAGTAGGGTACCTGACTGTCCACGACCACAAACACCCTCTTGTGGCGCATGTCAGGCTCCCGCAGCACTCGGCGAATGTGAACCAAAAAGGCCTGAAATTCCAACTCATTGGTATGCCCTTCCTGTCGCCATCTGAATGACAGCACGTCACGCCACAGCCATCTATAGGCTGGGTACGGACACAGTTGCCGTCCTCCCTGTTCCTCGACGGCCAACCTGACATCTGTGCCACGATAGTGACCCAGGCGAAGAAGTTGCTGTAGATGAGCTTTTTCGAACCCAATTTGCATGGTCCTCTCCATATGCAAGATGCCACTGACCACCTTTTCCTGCAAGCCCAGACTTTGCAGCCGGTCATATTTCACGAGGTCTTCTCTGATCTTCACCTTGCCTTGCATACTTCGGCAAGGGCTTCTTCCCTGCGCTCACTCAGGTTCATGAGGTTGATGGCTGCTTTCCCAGTACGGCGGGTAATCCTCCCCATCTCCGTGGGGGCAAACAGGCTTGTGAAGGGCTTGGTAGATGGTCTCGCTGTTGGTCAGTAAGCTTGTCCACTTCCCCCATAACAGCAATGGGAGAAGATCGCCATCCTCACTCCTGGAAGAGCTGCCAGGTCTATGGCTGGCTTGGTATACCACATCCAAGAGCGCCGGGGGTGATCCAAGGTGAAGAAGCGACCTTCTTCGTGGAGGGTCCTGCACCCCGCGATGGATCTCATTGCCATCTTGTTTCCTTTCCTCACCGCTGCTGCCTCATGCGCTGCTAGGTAAGTGAACCCCATCACGTGGCTTTCATCCCTCAGTGCCACTGGCCCCTCATACCATTTTCCGGCAAACTGATAAGGCCTACCTCGCGCCCTTGAAAAGGTTTTGCTGTCCGGAGCGTGATGCTCAAGGGTTGGGTCTGATGCATCGGCATGGGCAACCATTCTTTTCCTCTCTCCGAGAATACATCCATAGTGCTGTCCCACTTGTAATCTATGGGGTCAACCACTCTGAATCCAGCCTTAAACATGGTTCTCGACAATCTGGCCTCTGGACCACTGTACCTCTCCGAAAACAATGGAACTCCTACCGCTTGATGCGGGCAATAAGGCGCGTGCCTCAAGCAGCACTCCAAAGAGCAAAGCTTGCACCCGCACATCGCGGGGCAGGCCAAGTCTTCTCCACCTTCCACTACCTTTCTCATTGCTTGGCTGACCGGCCTCAACTGATCCACCGAGTCCAAGTAAAGTAAGAAGCGTTCTCCCTCAGGGAGCTCCTTGTTCTTTTGAATTTCGATCTGTCCGGGGAGTCCAGCTTCCTCAAACGCGAGAGTCCTGATGGCTTGTTGATCAATCCCCACTGCGGAGAGCCATCCCATAGGCACCGTCCTCAGCGAGACCCATGTCATCTCATCGTGAGGCAAGCCACGGACTCCTCCTCTCACCTGCTTGCGGTACACGAACATGCCACGCCATCCCCGTGGCATCTCAAACAAAGGCCGACTGCAAATCCTCACTGTCTATAACTATGGCTCCTTCGGCCTCCAATTCACAAAGCCCCACCTGGCCCACATAGGGCAAGGTCGACTCATCTCCTTCAATTTTGCGGCTCACCGCATTCAACGGACATAAAATAGATATAAATCTTCCCCCTTTTGGGACTGCTCCGGCCCCATTCAGGATCATTTCACCGGAGGGGCTTCTCAAGATCTCTTCCTCCGGGCAAGGCTGAAAAAGACCTAGCTGATAACCCCTCTGCCACGAGCCTCTCCCACTCAGAATTCGAGGCCCGCACATACGACTGGGGTACCGTCTCTGGCCATTCTTCCGCCGGAAGGATGGTGAGCAGTGGTTTGTTTACCATCTCCTTTGTGTCACCATGTAAGAATTTGGTGATGTTCCCCCCTTGTTAGGCCAACATGGAATCACTTTGTCGGCTGCAAGGTCTTCCATCACCACCCAACTAGATCCATCATAACCGTAGCCTTTCTTCTGAAGCTGCTCCTTTAGTTTCTGATAAGATGGGATCTTCAATCCCTTCGGGCACATGCGCCTCACCGCGGGCACCAAGTGCTGATCAACCATCTCGGTCTGCGCCGTAGTCAGCTTCCCGGGATGATCCATGTGGCGTGGTTGCTCCCAGCCTGTGCAGTACAACCCAAGCCATCAATATGACCCACGCCCGAACTTCAGACTGAATGTCCCGGCGTAGCTCTAGGGCATCTAACGAGATAGGCAGGAGATCGGGGCCCTCAGGGGCATCTTGGGCTGTGGCCTTTTGACCCAAAGTCGTCCGAAACCTGCCAAACTTTGTCCTGAGATGCCCCTTTTCCAGCACATGCCAGGCCACTTCCAATGCATCCCGTTCCTCTGCTAGAAACCCTGCAATTTTTCTTTCAAACTTTTGTCTACGCTTCTTCCACAACCTGTTCAAGGCCTCCTCTTCAATTTCATATTCCTCCGAAGATGCCACTTCACCTTTGGGCGACTCAACATCCTTTTTGGACTTTCGCTTCCGCTGAAGCTCTTTTCTGGGGTCTGGGGGTTCACTGGGTTCCGCTGGGATTCGGTTTGCCAAGGCGCCACCATCTACTTCCTCTCGGCAGCGTCCTCGGCCGGCGTCTTCCCCTTTCCTTTCTCCTTGCTCTTTCCTTTCCCCTTGCCTTGGCCCTTGGCTCCGAATTCGTGCTCCCCTTTGCCCTTCCAATGGCCTTTTCCTTTCCATCCGGACGGTCCTCGGAGCTTTTCCTCCCGCTCCAATTCCTTCTGGATCATTGCCTCCTCCCCCCTGTCCAGAAGGGCTACGTCGTCTGGCTCCACCAGCTCGAGGAAGCGTGCTCTCACCCAACTGTTGTTGTCTTGCACGCTTTTCTCCAGAGCCTTGATCCTCTGGGCAATGATGTCGGCAGCCTGCGCTGACTTGTTCTCGACCAGTAGGTCCAGGAGAATTGTGAGGTACTTCAATTCTCTCCCGGATCGTGGAGTCCATTTCGCCTTCAGGTTCGGGACCAAGGCCACGTTGTAGTAGGACACTGCGTTTGCCTCGATGTTTTTGAGAACGCTCTTCCCCTTTTGTGGCGAGGCCCCCACGGGGACGCGCCCCGCTACCCTCATGGTATGGAGGAGACGGGCCGCGAGCCGGCCGGGGTGCCGCTGAGAGTAACGCTGCAACTTCAGAAACAGCGTCATCCCCGCGGGGGCCTTTTGAAAATCCGATTCCGAATCATCCTCGGCTTCCGATCTGTCGGGTTTTTGCCTCTCTTCTTTTTCTTGTGGCTTTGCCTCCTTCGGCTCTGTGACCTGGAGGGATCTGACGGAGAACTCTGTCCTTTGCTCCTCTGCTTCTTCTTTCCCCTGCTTCTTGAAGTTCGCTTTTGGTTGCGCCCTGAACTCTCGTCAGAGGATGAGCCCTCATCGGAATCCGGCTCTGAAGACGATCCACCGGGTTCCGGGCTAGTCTTCACCTTCCGCGCGCTTCCTCGCATCTCACCTGAAAAGGGAGGGCTTCCCTTTCCACTCTTCGTTCTTTTCCGTCCCTTTCTCCTTCTTGCCTGCACCTTTCTTCTCTTCCTCGGTGACTTCAGCCGCTTTCACCTCCGTCTTCAGGGCTTTGAAGTCTCTGGCCAACTCTGTCAGCCTTTTCTTTTTCTTCACCAATTCTTCTTCCGGCCCTTTCCTCTCTGTCGTTCTCTTCATTGCAGCCTTCTCCTTCCCGGACGGCCCTGGCGCGCTCTTCCCTTTCTCTTCCTCTCCATCCTCTTCATCATCACCTGGGTCATCCCAGGGCAAGTCACCAGCTCCTCCAGCGCCTGGCCTTTCCTTTGGGACTCCTTTGAAATATGCCTGCACATGTCCATGCGTATCCTCATCTAGGATCCCTCCGCTGTTGTCAACGAGCTCTTCTTCCTTCCACTGTCGCCACTTGCCTAAGTGGACCACATGTTCTCCTGTTCCGCCTTTACATTCGGCGGGAGGACCTTTGCATATATGATATGCTCCGTCCACCGTGGTGACTGCCCCGTCTGGACTCGCAAGCCACCATCTGTAATATGGATCGGTAGCAGTCACCACGTCCCCATGCAAAGTCCTCCCGGTCTCTCCCGGGGCGAACAGGCGCTTCACCCACAAGACCACTGTGCCTTGTGGGTCGCCTCCATCATCGTAAACCTCGCCCTCTATATAGGTCCCCTTCGTGGGACCTTCGAGGGACTTTCTCCCATGCCATTTACCAGGCATGTCCCTACACCCCCTCCCCCCCAGGGGAGGGTGGGCAAGGCTTGATAGCTAAACACTAGAGACAAACAAGAAACTAACTAACTAACTAACTAACTATGATATAACATCGCATCCCTACTCATTCGCTACACTACATTCCTAGGTGCTGCTAATTCCTATATGTGCATAATTGAAAGGCTCTGAAGAACCCGACATTGCCTTTGTTCAGAAGAAAACAATAATGAGCACCCCCAGTTGCCGATCCCCAAGTGCACCACTGAAAAAGCCACAATTCTCGAAATGGCTTGCTTATTTTCAAGCTCCAAATACACAGACGGGGCACTCTGCACTCCATGTGATTCTCCCAGCTTTTGTTGAAGTGTTCCAGCCTCAAGCAAAGCAACGTGATTCTCACTCTCACAATGAACCGATCCTATGCACTGGTTGAGACTACAGAAACACATGGCTGAAGAGAGCAAGGGAGGGAGGGAGGGAGGGAGGGAGGCAGGCAGGCACGCAGGCAGGCAGGGAGGGAGGCAAGGGAGAAAGAGAGAGAGCGAGAGAGAGAGAGAGAGATATATATATATATAGATAGATAGCTGCTTGAAGGGAAGGAAAAGCTATTTGATAATAATATATACAGTAGTCGGGGCTAAAAAGCGGAGCATGTCTTCGCCCGGCTACGTGATGAAACCGTTGCTCCAAGGACGTCAATCTGAATCTGATCCGTGAAAGCTCGTTGTTCGACTCGAGCTTGCTCAATCTCTGCTTCAAGCCAGTTTCTTTCAGCAGCTCTTCCTGAGTGCAAAAGAAAACAATAAAAAACTTAGCGCACCGAAGCCCATACAAAAGTGAGAAAGCAGTGATGCAGGGGGCGCCTCATGAGTGTTTGTGCAAAAGCTTCAAAGCTTCTTAAGTTATTCTGTGATTCTGGTTTACAGTTTCGGAATGTCTTGGTAGTCATCCAGTCTGGTTTCAACTGGGCGTGAGAGTCCAACAAACTCTGTCCTTAGGCCTCTGTCGATCTTAGTGTTCCTAGGGTTATCAAAAAGCAGACGCATGTTTATGTCTTTCAATGACCCTGCCCCTCCGAAGTCTTTTGCAGGAACATGAGATTCTCTTGGAGTGCTCAGGTCAATCATATTTCTCCATTCTACTTTGAACTCATCTCTACGAGAACAGCTCTTGGGCGTTCTGCTTCCAAGCCGGAGCTTTGAAATTGTCTCTAGCTGTGCCTTGGAAAAGCTGGTTTGATGAAGAAGCTATGATTCATGGCCAAAAGCTTCAGTTTGAGAAAACAGCCACTCTTCGTCACGATCTTGGCCCCCACAGCCTCCCCACTCCAGCTTCCTTTGGTGGGGAAGCTTGACCCCGGGAGCTCGGAGTCCAAATGCCGGGCATCCAATTTGACCTTGTAAAGAGCCTCCGGTGGTGCTACCTGAGTCTTGACGGAAGTGCCCGTGCGCTGAGTCCGGAGGTCGTGTAGTTGTCGTCTCACCTCAGGGGTGTTGAGCTGAATGAAGCTCATTGGAAATCTGAAGAGGTAAGGCTGACCAAACCTAAAGTATGCCATATTCCTACTCTCAAGCCACGCAATGGTTCACAAGGAACACAAGCTGTTGAGCCAAGAACCTGGCTCACATCTTTTGCGACCTCCTCCTCAAGCTTCTGAAGCCGATCCGATTGCTCTTTGTCCATCGAGTCTTGGCGTCTCTGAAGCTCTTCGAGCTCCCTTGCTGATTGCTCGCTGTGTTTGTCCATTGAGTCTTGGCGTCTCTGTAGATTCTCAAGCTCCTTTGTCTGAAGCTGCTTCTGAAGAAGATTGTCGTAGTCACTCTGCAATCTCTTCTGTTGCTCCTGAGTTTTTTCGGCTAAGTCCTGGATATGGTGCAACTTCTGTTCAAAGTCGATGAAGCTCTTGTTGACCCAACTCTGTGAAGCAGCCTTGCCAGCAATGCCAAAAAAAGGACCCTGGCACTGCAATCCCCGCCTTGTCCTCCTCTTCTGTCTTATCTTGTTCTGGTCCCTCCTCTCCCGGGGAAAGATAGGTTCCAAGCCGCTGGAGCCGGTAGCGCGGGAGTTCCAAAAGATGGAGACTCCGGTTAGGACTATCTTCCCACTTTGGCTCCTGGAAAGAATTGAAGTGAATATTAATAGAACAAGGACCAAAAAATATCAAAAATATGAAGTTGTGCGCTTCCAGCACGTCAAAAGTATATATGCATATGCTTTACTTCCAATAACCAGTGGGTGATTGAGAAAATCAGTGGAGAAGGATATGTGGGCCACAGACTCAAATGTGCGTTCAAGTTTTCGACCGGTGTACAGGGATCATCTACCAATCTACCGATATACAACGGGCTCACTCCTGTGATGAGCTTTGCACCAAATACTTGTAGGCGATGGTCTTCCCGGCTTCAGCAGAATCAAAATGGATTACCTTACGCTCAAATTACAGATGAAGAGTTCCAACATTACAGTTTCCCAAGCCAGCATTTTCATGTTAGAGCCAACTCATTACGCTCAATAGATCAAAAGTATTCAAAAGTCGGCCCATTTCACTACCAAGCATCAGCCCTCCAATAGGGATATGTCGTTTCACAGCAGAGCGGACGTGCGTGCCGGACATCCCAATTCCCAAGTGCGTCAGTACCTCGGAGAGCAGTGAGCCAGCATTGAAAAGGCAAAAATGGCACAGGATGAATGAAAGGGATCCACAATCAGCTTAGAATGTGAATCATACCCAACTGGATTGTTTCATCATGTCATTTCATTTAAGACGAAAGGAGTCACTGCAGCATACATGCGCGTCAGAACAAATTAAAAACAAAGGGTAAGTGAGCATCTCTCTGTAGACCATTTTGTTCTGGTATGCTCTGGTTGGGTTCTTTATCAGAGCCAAATGACATGGCGAGACCGCCTTCCCAGCACCAATCAGGCCCAGCGGCCACCGCAGACGAAAACCTCCTCCCCGTGATTGGTTTTTTTCTCCACCTCGAACCGCACCTCCACCCCGTCTGATGCGATTTTCGGTGGCTCCTCGGGGTTCTTAATCAAAGCAAACGAATCAGGACACACTCCAAGAGTCTCATTTCAACACTTCCAAATACAGCTCCATTTTAAAGGATGCATTGGAAATCATATAAATGGCCAACTTCGACTGGAAAAGGCCCGCGCCTCTTTATACGCCATGTGGATCGTTTTGGGTCGGAAAAAACGGATCCTTTTGAGCCAACGACCTGCTCAAAGATCCTCAAATGTAAGGCCCCCACTTCATCTGTTGAACTGAGTCGAGGTGCAAGTTGTAGCGAAGCAAAAGAGATGCTACCTTCAACTAACGTTAAATGTAAGCATACAACAAGTTGACTGGATGCGGCAATGCGATTACAAATTCAACAGCAAGGGAGTTTTGAAACATAGGCTGTAGGACATCCTGCCTGTATGAACTGCCGAATGGTGCAACTTGAACATTCCGCAAGCTTCACATGTTTTCAAAAAAAAACTCTGCTGGAACTCATGACGAACATGACATGGTCAATGTTGCAAGGCAGGAGTTGCACAATTGTTGTAGCACATGCCAAAAACTGGATATCCGGGAAAAATATACAAAAAATTGTCAATAAAGTATTCTATCCTAAATTTATGGAACAACCACCCATTGATCGAAGATTTTAGCATTGTATGTTTCAAATCAAACCACATCAACGACAGACATCCGGACACGTTGGTGCGGAGATCTTACATCAAAGGTTTGTGTTTTCATCAAGCAGAATGAAAATAGATCCTCAAAACTGAGTGGGTTAGAAATGTTTCACGATTCCATGCGCTGGAACCTGCAGCAACAAAAGCTACAATCGCATGCAAAGGCAATGATACAAATGACACAGAAATGGGCGGCTGCTTGATTTCAGAAGTCGACAGCACGCATTTTTTCCCGCAAAATCTTGGTGTAGTCTCATAAAGTCCTGGAGGCTGTGGAATGAATTTAACCTTTTGATGCTGCACCGTACAAAATAAGTTTGCAGTGTCCACCTGGTCAAAACAAAGGTTGGCATGAAACAATAAATATTGTTTTGGAAACATATGTGACAAACGCACGGCGCGGCGCGGACCTTTTCTCAAAGGTCAGTTTGGGCCACTTAAGGCCGGTTGCGTTCATGAGCCTGTGCATCGACATCCGTGGGGTGAAAACTTCTGCCCTTGCCAGTCGCCTTCCCACTGGTTTAACATGACCGCAACACAAAAGGCTGCGACACCCTCGGTACCGCTCGGGCCCTCTATTACAATGCGCGGTACCGCCTCGGTACCGCTTCGGTACTGCTCGGGCCTCTTACAATGCGCGGTACCAACACCCCGTTTGCGTTTTTACATAGTTTTAATTGGGTCGGAGTGAAGAACTTCCAAGAAAACACAAAGACCAACAGAAGCCCACGAAACGCATCCTTACAAATTCACCCGAAAATGTAACTTATTTGCACACATCAATGGCCAAACCCACGCCCAAGCCTTTGTTGTGGAGCGCCCGATTGAAGAAGCGGGACTGCAATGTTAAGGTTGCGCTTCGTGGGTTTCTGTTGGTCTTTGTGTTTTCTGGAAGTTCTTCACTCCGACCCAATTAAGACTTTGTACAAACGCAAACGGGGTGTGGTACCTTGCGTTGTAATGGAAGGCCCGAGGCTTTCCCTTTTTGGATCCCGCTCTTGAGCCGAACATCACAGTCGGTTCGACTGTATCAAAGTCTATCATCTCTTCTTCTGAAGAGGTCTGACTGTTCGCAGTCGTCCCAAACATGGTAAAAGAACAAGAAAGCATCTCCAAACACTCTCAAGCTACTCCAAGCTATACACAGCTCTAGCCAAGGCTTCTCCAAAGATACTCCTAGCCACGCTTGGTCACATTCCACCTTATCCTGCTAAGGAGGTCAAAGAGAACACATCCAAACAAGGAAGATCCCTATCCAGCTCCAACCCCAAGTACCGAAAAACGACAAGTTCCACTACAGACAGGTACTAGGTGATCCACACACTGTACAGGCGTACTACCCACACTTTTCACACCCCTTCTTGGTTCACCTCGTACCTTCTTCTGGTTCTTCCTGTCTTCTTCTTCTCTTCTCTTCGTTTTCTCTGAGCAACTAAGGTTCAAGCGTCAACTAAGATCTCAACTCCTGTCCTCCAAACTGGTCTCCAGGTCGATCAAACGTCCACAAATTCAAGACGACAAGCGAAACGCAAGCCTAAACTCAATCAACCAAGATCAACCAAGCAGGACAACAAGCTCAGCCATACAAGATCCCTCAGAGGACAAATCTTCTGGAGCCTCACAGAGATGGCTCCTAATGATCTGTCTTTCCTCATCCTTGGGATCTTGAAGGTTCGACGCTTTCAAGACGGCACCTGACAGGCCGAAACGACAGACGTACACCGCTAAAGTTCCTGCCAGGACAAAAGTGCACAAGAGCTCAACTCGACAGCAAGTGGAACAAAAAGGAATCTAGATAACCCTCTAGCTACCAACCCTTTTACTGTTCACACTCCACTCCTCTTAGATAAACCCTGTTAGTTACAGGCGACTGCAATCCACATCTTAGATAAACCCTTGCAGACAGCATCAACTCTCATGTACAGGTACTCTTCACACAAATCCTTAGTTACAACCCTTGCTCTCGCAGATTCCCAGTCTCTCGCCTTATCCACTGGTCTCCTTGCAAGAAAAAGGAAGTGAACAAACTCTCGAAGACTTGATCCCTCTAAGAGTACACATCCCTTGACTCACACAAGATGGAAACTGTCGCAAATCTCAATCTATCCAAGCTCAATTCACCACAACAAGAAACTTGACACATCAAACAGCAAACAAAAATTATGACGCCCCCCAACTCTTTCTGCAGCCAGATCGAAGAGTGCTACACTCAAGGCCTTACTCAGCTTAGGCGGTAATCCTCCTCAGACGTCGGGAAAGACTTCTTGCCACTGATAGGACCCATCAGGCATGCGGCATGCGTTGCCGTTTCCAAAGCGGCTCAACCGAGCTAGCCGGAGTCGAACTCCCATGCGATGGTGCACTTGGCGCCGACATAGCTGGCACCGACATGGGGGTTGAAGGTGCACCGAAACTACCTGGTGGTGGGGACGCTGGCGCTGGAGCAAAAGGCGGTACCAATGGTGGTACCTCCAGCAGCTCAGAAAGGATACTAGTCTGCTGACTCAATCATCGAGGCGCACCCCGTTGATGAGCAGTTCCTTTAGGCTGGATCTTGTCTGCTGATTGCCTTGTCCGGCAATGCGCCAGGCAGATTCTCGAAGCAATTTCGTGGTTGCACCGCGGTGTTGGGCAGCAGCGTCCTGCTCCACCCTCACAGAAGCACTCATTCCGCTAACACCGGACGCCATACTCTTAATGGCATCGAGGGTCTGAACGCCGTGCTGGTTGACATCAGCATCGCGCTGCATCACGGTGCCAACGTATTCTTTGAGCTTGGCGCTCACCTCGCTCAATTCCCCAAACTTTGAGAGGGCGTATTTCACAACCTCGTCCCCTTTGGCCCTCAAATTCTGCACAAACTGGGGAACCTCTGGGCCACTACTGCTGAGCATAGTGTATCTCTCAAAGTAGGCGTATGCCCAGAGCCTCGATCCCGCACGCAGCTGTTGGATCCGCCATTTGGTCACCTTAGTGAAGGTGTGGAGCTCTGACAGGGATTTGTCAGAAAGCGCATGGCCGGGACCCCAATCCTTCATCCTGGGCTCTCTTCTCCAATTCACGCACCAGGGCCTCAACCTCCATCAAAGAATCCACCACAACACTCGAGGCCTCAGAAACCGAACAAAGTATCGAGCGAACACTCGGGTGTATCGTTCTGTCTCTGTCCAATTGACATGTTGAAAGCTGCGCGCTCGACAATGCACTGACATTTAGAACCTTTCCGCTAACCTATTTGCAACCTCCTTCCGGTTTGACATAAACCTGAACCTCTTTCCAACTGGTTGTTGACTCTTGGTAAACATCTTCATTGAACATCCGTTCACGATACCTTCAAACTCTAGATGCTGGTTCGACAAGACCTTTCTCAAGACTTCTGACTTCCAGTAATGATTGTTTGCTGGTAGCTCCAGACTCTTGGATACCTCTCCGTGAACCTCCTCAACCTTCTTCAAAAGACAATCGACTGAATTGGCTAGTTCCTCAAAGATCTCGACATGTTTCTCCCTGGGCTGCTGACGAAAGTTCAAGATTGGACTTCCCCCAGTACATGGTAGAGAAATGTGTACGTGAATCTTGGTTCCGCACTGGCCGAGTTCAAATCGACGGTGGACCCTGGGCTCGATCCTGCATCCCTGACAAACAGAAGAGAGAAGTTCAATGATATCCATCTGAACTAGCTTTTCCTGAAGACAATCATGGCATCCAATGTAGGATACGCTTACCTTCACGCAAGCCTGCCTCAGACATGAATTTCGACCACAACACAGTTCGACAAAAACCATGTCCTTTCCACATGTATATGAGACTGCTGCTGATGACCTTGACGGGACTGTTGACAACTGCAGCTGGCCTGGCGGCGCGACGCTGCCCGCTCCTAGACACGGTGGCGCCGACGCTGCTGGGACTGCACTCGCGATCAACGGCTGACTCAACAGCGGCTGAATGGGGGCTGTCTCTGCTGCTGGCGGTGTATCTGGCGTCACTGGAGGCGGCGGTGGTGGTGGAAATATCGGTGACTGAAATGGATGCATAGTCCGGTCACGACCGGGCACGGCCCTTCGGACTGGACGTGGAGGTCCCATTGCCACATGGGGTTCATCCTCCTTCTTGACTTCGTCTTTCTTCTTTGGATCTTCTTTCTTCTTCCTTGGAACCTCTGAGATCAGCTCTGACTTCACCGATCCTGCTCCCGATGCTGCCACACCCTTGAAGCCTTCCTTCTCGTAAGGCCCGATACCGACCTGACTGATAGAGTCTGAAGGACGCACCTCGTCATCCATCTGTCCTTGAAAGCCTTGGTGGACCCTCGGAAGTAGGGTTACAGCTGGTCTTGAAGCCATCGGCTCACCATCGCCCTCAGCCAATCTCTGTTTCTTTGCTGGTCTTGCTTTGGCTTTGGTTCCACGCCTTTTCTTCCATATCGACCGTTCATTCTTCTTCTCATTCTTCTCGTCCGTCTCCTCAGGCTTTGCGGACGCTTTTCGAGG